GTACAAAAATAAACACATGCAGATTTGTGAATGTACAAATGAAATATTAATAAAGTTATATGTTCCTTAATTGGTGGTACTTTGTTCACACTTTATACGTGAATAAAATAGGACTCCGACAATTTTTTTTAAATCTCTTGCCTTACTGTCTGATTTCAAGATTTTCTTGGCTCGTTCTAAAAAAGTAATCTTTTTCAAATAGTGTTCGCTTGTTTGCTATAAATATTCAAGTCATATGCTTTACAAGTGTCGAAGATATTAACCTGACGGTTATCTCGCCACAATGAAAGCATGTGCTTAGACACTGCAGGAGAGTAGACATTACCTTACATTCAACTACAGTGGTAGAAGATAATTTGGCAAATAGTTGAACATGGACCAACTCAAGCATGAGACTTTCGCCTCTTGAAATCTAGTCATTCATTGTAACATATAACAACTGAAATACTAATAACTTATATATACCTCATCTAGAACCGCATTTGAGGTAGAAGAAATAGTTAACACTAGCTGACTTCTATTTGTAGTAGTAGTAGTAGTAGTAGTAGTAGCTGCATGAGAAGCACACGTAATATTAACGTCGCTTCCAAGGAGAAACATATAACGTAATACCATAGTCGGTACCAAGGAGGGACATAAAACATAACACCATAATTGGTAAAAATAGAGAATCATAAAACGTACAAACAGCGCATTGCAGCAGCAACATCAGAACTCGGTTCGGTCTTTTTGTTGTAGCGATATATAGTAGTAGTTGTGATAGAAATCAAAACAGGAACGTCAGCAAAATTACATGTAATAGAAGCAACAACATAAATTTAGTAAGAGTGACAGAAATAGAAACAGATGTTGTAATAGCCAATTGTCACTAATGGAGCTATCGTTGACGTTTGCTATGAAAAATAATTGTGCACAATATCTTGGAAGAATTAAATATTCTTTAGAAGGAGTTTTTCAATCCACGTATATGTATAATTTTGTCTTTTTTTGTCCAGAAAGTCTATAATGCCAAGGTTTCTAATGGTGACCAGTAAGTGTTGTTTATCAAAATATTATCCATTAGGAATACCTGGAAAATGCTACACATGATTTAATTTGAACTAATTGTAAGGACAGGATACACAAATTGTGAATGTGCTAGGTTAATTAATCGCTAAAGTAACCACCATAAATCCCCGGTGATAACTGGTCGCAATCGAAACTGGAAGGTTGAAAGTAGGTGACCGATATTCATTGACTTAATTTTTTCCCCACGTGTTTATGACCTATCTTGTCAACTGCGACATATCAAGAGGTGTTCTTGATTTAGGTCAAGAATAAATATTATACAGATTTCTGTATTCCAGTTCCTTCGTAAATTTCTCTTTTGGTTTGGTAATTAAGTCTGTTAAAACACTTGTTTTAGGTTTATTTTGCTTTCAGTTACTTTCAAAGTTCTTTCGGTTTCTTCTGATAAATATGAAGATCTTTACACTGAGATGGATGGAAACGGCCTTGAACAAAACTAGAGAATGCCTGGCTGATTCCTAATAAACCAGTCAAACAGAAACAATCAACCGCAGCAACGGAAACGGCAACGTCAAATGGGGTAGTGCTAGCAGTCTAGGCAATATTAACAGCAGAAATATCAATATTAGTAGCAGGGCCAGAAGTAGTGGACACTACAGAACTAACAGAAATAGCTGAATCAACACCAGTATTCGGGTAGAAGATAAAGCAAGCTATTAACATATATTGACTTTCTTGTGTAGCTACATAATATAGCATTCTGTTGTGTTAGAATCAATTTGTGTTATTAGACCAAACGATTACTCGAACCAACTATATACACAATTATTCTTGCACGGTAGGGCTTCTATCAATTTGAGCTGAGGTTTCAGTCCACAGCATGTGAATCGTGCAAGCTTATGTGTTTCAGTCAATGAATAGGTCTTTTTAACAAAAGGGCAACTCTTTTAAAGATATATTTATTGGATATATGCATCCAAAGAAGATATAATTCAAAACAACTTTGATATATATTGAAATTTTCCCACTTGCGTGGAGGACAACTGACATGTTTTGCCAATATTTAATTTTCATGAGAACTCAAGCGTCTTGCTCATAATGTTTTCAAGCCACTACTGAGACGGGTCACATATGAAGATTTCTGATTGACATTGTTTGCAGAATAGAAACACAAAAATGCAAAGACGTGTGTTGATTTCACATTTTATTTGTGCACAAGGAGAATATAGCTATTTTGTTCCAATAAAATAGTTACTCAGCAATCGTTGCCAATGTAATCGACTTTACGTTTGTTTTTTTTTTACCCATCTAAATTACAAATATATCATTTGCCGTGCTATACGTGATTTGGACTCTCTCTCTCTCTCTCTCTCTCTCTCTCTCTCTCTCTCTCTCACACACACACACACACACACACACACACACACACGTGCGCGCGAGAGCATGCACGCATGCGTGCAGGTGTAGAACATGCACTGACTGTTCGTATAGCAGTAAGTATACGTCAAAATACGAAGAAAAAATGAAGAAAACAAAGCATGGTGGAAACAAAGTAACACATATTTCGTGAAAGGGTTTAAATATGCAAAGAACGAACTGTTAGATCATAATTCGATTACATGTGTTATTATCATGATCAAAGATTTTAAAACCAATTTTGGAAAGCATGTTGAGAAAATCATAATCACAGATCCATTTTGAGAGCATTTGTTAAGCGTCTTATGTTGTTTGTAGTTTAAGTTTTGTATATTGACTTTTTATTTGGGCTTATATTTTCGTACATCACAGAAGCTCTTACGCGTGATGCACTAATTATTGCGTTGTTCTTTCCCTTGTTTTAAATCATTGTTTCAAAATATAACCACCTGTATCCTGCCCGCCAGAACGTAATATTAATTCAGTGGGCGTAATCACATTCTTTGGAGACGTGATCAATGGTTCGACGTATGTTTGCGTAAATGAGGAGATTGCTATTAGATAAATTTAGCGGCCATTAAATTTAAGGATGATGTAAATTACTAATTGTTTCAGCAATTCAAAGCATGGAATTTATATTAACTAAATTTAATATCTTTTGAGCATGACTTGTCTTCAAGGCCAGGGCTGAATTTTCTGCCTCAGAGGAAACATCGTAATTTTTTTTTATCACTTATCCGTATACACAATGTACAACATTTAACATATGTTCCAGCGTTATTAATGATATACAATTTAAGTAATCCATGCCATGTCTATATCTAACAATTCATATTCACGTCATTGTTGTACAAGTTACTAAAGTTTTACAGTCTTTCACTGAATCCCGAAACTCAGCTATGGATTCAAACATGAAAACATAGATGTCAGCTCGGGTATGTACTATAATTAATACGATTGTTCTGCCAGACACCAATTTAATATTTTTGGTCACCCTCTTTTCTTATTTTTTATCTACTATGATAATATAATATTTTATTTATTTCCGACTACTGTCGTGTTTTTTTTTTAAATAAAGGACGGACAGTATTGTTTTTATTTTGTCTTATTTAGGTAAAATGTGTGTGCTTTAAAAAAGCCACATACAATGTTTTCCTTTCTGTCCTATTTGACGTCAAATTAGACGTAACATTGTTGATGATCCAAAACCTTCATTTTTTTGTCAAATGTATTTTTAAAAAAAATAATTTGTTTTGAATTTCTTGACATTTTAAAAGTGTAATTGCTGTCCCTCCAGAATGTGACTCTATTTTTAACAAAAATATATATATTTTTTTATAAATATTTATAACTCTATGAGGTACTAAACTGTTGTTAGTCAAACTATTTGTTTATTCTTAGTGACTAAATAACATTTGATCGTAGAGTAAATAGGGATCTCAAGTGGGCAATTATTTATTGTAGAATTTATGAAATGAGTTTTTTTTCTAGCCTCAAAGAACAAAAACTGGAAATTGTTTCTGAGATTCTATTTATCACATAATTTTATTTCATTTGAGAAACGTTTAGATAGGAATAATAAATAATGTTCGCCATTTCATTTAGTTTTAGCTCAGACGAGGATTTCAATTCTTGCTCGTTTAAATAATATTTCCGGATGCGACACGAATCAATAATGTACGATTTGATACCCAATAACATTTCAAACACATTTTTATTTCATTCACAAATTATAATTCAGAGAGCATTATAATTCCAAATCAATAGAAAATATTTCAGCACTGGATCTCTTATGGAAATTCATGTGTGATGTCACATAGTTCACTCCGGCAAGGTCAGCTGGATAGTTTATGTGCAATAGTCATGGATTTGGATGAGACTGTTTACAACGTTTCCACTGAAAAGTGCTGATTCTGCTATGGACATTCACTACAGATGCAGTCATGAATACAACAGAAAAGGAGCATTCCAGTTGTTGAATATTCGTGTGAAGGGATGATTACTGGATGGGGAAATTGTACTAAATCTAGACTAGTGGTGTTGCTAATTATAGTGATTCCAAATTTAATGTTTTTTGTATTATTTGATTTGGAAGAGTGGTTGGATATCTTTCTAGCTAGGTTGACATTTAATCAATGTTTGGCAATAATGATACTAATTTCTGACAGTTAGAACGTGATGCAGAAATGTCTACATCACCTTCAGTTGGAATAGTATTGTGGAGTGTAGAGTGGAGTGTTGGAGTGGAGTTTGGGGTAGAGTCTAGTGTCTGGAGTGTGAGTTCTGGAGAAAGGAGTGTATTAATCTATAAGAAATTATAGTGTCCATTTTAGGTCATTTTGCATGTTTTTGTTCTTCAAGTTATATTACTTCAATAACATTTTTATTATTGTACTAATATCTGGGTACTGTAATATATGAATATTTGTGCATAGGTGATAAAAAGGTGTCACAACTAATATCAACACCATGAAATTCATAATTGATTCACAATTCTCATCTGATCATCTGCAATAAAAATGAGATATTGGCTGATCATGTGTAATGTAAATGATGCCCTCTGTTTAATTGTAACCGCTCCGGTGGCCTGGCGGTTAGAGCGTCCGTCTCAGATGCGTGAGGACGTGGGTTCGATCCCGGTCGAGTCATACCAAAGACTTCCAAAAAATGGTACTAACAGCTACCTCGCTTGGCGCTCAGTATTACGAGGTTAGTGTTAGGACTGGTTGGCTTAGTGTCAGGATATTGTGACTGGGTGGGGCATCATCTGCATGTCTGCGGCATGATGTCCCAGTGCTAAACATCAATATAAACTGCCACAATGCAGACATCGTAGCGATATGACCGAAAAATTGTTAAAGCTACGTTTAAAATTATAATGACATCACATCACATCTATTTGATTGTAATGGCTTTACAAATGCTCATTTGTGATACGGTTGTAACCGGGTTGGTGTGTGTAGTGTTGTGCTCTGTTAATTGATTTGGCGATCGTTATGTAGGAATGACCTCTTTCGATGCTATTGCCCAGTGTGAATAGATAGATAGAACAGTAACAGAGAACTAAGCGAGACTATTTAGGACAGATAAACAAATACGAGCCACCCAAGCAATAAAATAGAAGAAATTTTTAATTTATTAATTAATACATAGACTAAGAAATGAAAGCTCAACCCAACAGATTCACATTTATGGAATTTAATACCGGTATTTAGTTTACGTATTAGTATATCTTAGTAACGAGTGGTAAAAATAGTACAATTTCCACGCTGTATTGCATCACCTGGCGTTATTTTTGTATTTAGGCTTTTCATATTCCACGTCTGTTTGCGGACTTTCCTCTTGGGCTGTCTTCATCGGCTTCTCGGGGATGGATATATAAAGTTGTTCCCTTCAAAGGCAAGATTACGGCTAAAACGGTTTATGTTTACATCTATTAGATTATATATAAAATCTCTCACTTTCGTTATTCAATAGCTATCCACACTGCATAAATTCTGACATAGTGTGACATAGTGTGACCGTAATGATTAACGGTCCTTAGAAATGGCCCCTATAATATACATTCATAAATACATCCAAGTCTGGCCTAATTATATATCGATTCACAGCAGCGGTTGTCTCGTGGGCCGTGTATATAAACATAATTACAGAATAAAAATCTGCACAAATTACTATAAGTCTTCTTACAGCTGGCTATTATACGCCTTTTTACACCGCTCTGGTGGGCTAGTGGTTAGAGCGGCCGCCTCGGATGGGGAGATAGTGGGTTCGAGCCCTAGCCGAGTCATACCAAAGACTTACAAAAATGATACTAACAGCTGCCTCGCTTGGCGTTCAGCATTAAGAGGTTAGTGTTAGGACTGGTCTGCCTGGTGTCAGAATCATGTGAATGTGTGGGACATCATGTTACATGTCTGTGGCATGATAACCCAGTGCTAGACATCAATATAAACTGTCACACTGCAGATAGCGTAGCGATATGACTGAAAAAGTGTTAAAGATACGTCAAAAATCTAAATTACACACACACGCACACACACACACCTTTTTACAGCCGGCTATGTACAACGATGCTGTCGTATATATCAGCATACATCTGCTTATAGCTAGCTTGGCAATTCCACTCAATAAGATAAATGCTCATTTGCTATTGTATAAGATTCACTAAATCCTAGCTTACAGTAAGCAATGACTTGCAAGATCAATTAGGTATTGCAGAATCATATATTAATATGCAGTTATCATTAACTCACGGTAAATAGTATCATCATTCAGACTAAGGATATTAATTAATATAACCACAAAAAATTCTACATATTTGGATAATTCATAAATCCTTATGAAATACTACACATATGAAAATTAGGAATAATTCATTTAACCCTATTAAATATTGCACATTTGAAAATTAGGATTACATCAAATCCGTCAATTTTATCAATGTACTAATTAATGAATTAAATTGCATGACACTAACATGTCAATAGAGACGTATTAAATGAATATACGATATAGACATGAATCATACGCATATCAAACACATTTTCATAAAACAAGACAAACTAAATAGAATATTATATGGAAATTTAAAACATGTACCTTAATGTTTTCTTTCCACACAGCCGTGCGTCCTATCACAATAGCCTATGTTTTCATTTCAAGACAGCTATCTGGCCTCTCTACTTAGTTAACGAGGAATAACACTATTTTCAGGTTTCCCACGGAACCTAAAATTCGACTTCTCGCAAGCAAATGTGGACTAAAGAATTCTGAGCTAAGCCACTACCTTAAATTTCCCCAATTGTTTTAAAGTGTAAACCATAATTTTAACTGACCAATCGAAATCAACTGTTTCTTAATTTTCCTCAAATAATCATGTCTTTCATCAGTTTGCGACAGCTTAGAATATGATGCAATTAACTTAGCTTTAAAGATTTATTATTTTGGACATAGGGTCTCCTCCTACCGTTATGGTCGGTAATTCTAATGTATTCTCTGCCAGTATACCACTACAATAATTGGGTCATTCCACTGAAGCTTAGACGTAAGCCCTTTTATGATTCAGAGATGAAATAAGAGAACTTTTTAAAGACCTTTCTGGCTTGAATATGATAACTTTAATGCACAATTTATTCAACTTTAGGATTCAGTACCTATTCAAAATTCGATATATTACACGGGTGTTAAGTTTAACCCTGTAATAAAGAAATCAAGTACATCTGTTAGAAAATGGCAATTGTGTAACATCTAATACCGTGCCTGTCAAAAGCAATACATTGCCCTGATACCAAGAGCAATATTTGTTTGATAATTTTAACATGTTCTAACATCACTATACGCATGCAATCAAAGAATGTAAAAGAAAACAACACAACCACCACCATCACCACCACCACCAATAATAATAATAATAATAATAATAATAATAATAATAATAATAATAATAATAATAATGTAAAAATACATATTTCTGGCATTATAATGATATATAATAAAAAATAATTACATTGCATAGCATCATGCCATTTTTAGTCTCCCGGTATCAGCGTTGAAACAAATGAATACAAAATATGTATGGGGAATGTATATAAACATATATTTATATTTGTTCCAAAAAATAATTAAATTTTTTTATCAAAGCAGTCATGTTATAAAAGGTATTGATCTCTATCCCTAACAATGGAGGTGTCTCATTACAGAAGACAATTAGTTTCCTGTGTGACAGACCATGCTATTTTCTAGGTGGGGTGGGCTGGGATTTTCTTTCGAACCAGAATTTTGTTCTTTTTCTTCCACTAATATAATGGATATATCTTTTTGTTCGTCAAATCAGAGTAATTTTTACACCCTATTTTGGAGCAACACTGTTGTTCTTGATTAGTCTCTGTCCTCTCCCTGTCCTGACATCCTGAGAATGGCCTTAACTACGTCTGCCCGCATTCGTACAAATTCTAGTACCAACGTACAGGCATTCGCTTTTGTTTTGACCTTAACTTCAGATACCATGCTCCAGAAGCAACTCCAGCCTCCACTCCAAGAATTCACTATTCATTTTACACGATCCCACCGCCAGACGCAGATATGTCCATAACATCTCAAATATTAATGCTTTTTCAACACGGAAAGCAGTATGGTTCGTTAGCTCTTTCTCGCTTTTTTGTAGCCAATCTTTGTTTTCTTCATTTCAAGATTTGTTTCTTGAAAGGATCAAGAACTTCGTTGTTGTGACTCCGTTCACCTTCTGTAAAGGAGCAGATGGTACACCTTCAGGAACTAAGATGCTGTCTTCCAAGAATGCGTATGTTTAAAAAGATGTTGCATAAGGGAGACCACTCGCACGTAATTATAATTCTTGTATCAATCCTACCGATTTCAATAACGAAAAAAATTCACAGAACTTAACCATTTCATTCATTGAGTTACCAGGGTTGCCCTAACACGATCATCGTATGCAAGTTTCATCTTAACGGACTTTTCATATTAACATTGCGTCACATTGAGTACACTATGGGCGAGTATATTTTCTTCGGACAAGACAGTGATGTTGTGTAACTGCCGCATAATTCCGTAAATTACCATAAGGTTGACAGTTGCGAGTTATAGCCCTTTGCATACATGCACATAGAAATTAAACCGTCTATTAAATCCAAGTGAGAGGTTCATTTGTGGTTAGCACTCCTTTTGTTTGCTTGATTCGACATTGTAATGTCGCTGGCAGACGACGTAGAATTTACCTTCTATGTACATACATGTGTAGTTCCACCCCTTCGATGAAAATGGACTTGAAAAGAAACTGGAAAGGACAGCGAGCAAGGTCGTCGTTTCACTGAAAACTTCCGTCGGGTATGTTGGCTCCCTCCTCGTCAACAAATTCCGGTCATTATAAAAATACAAATCAATGAATGCGCTAATTTCTGCGCATTTTTTTAAAAAAAATCTCATTTATGCTTTTTGTAATCTTTTTTAAAAATCGGTAAGTAGTCCGAACAAACGGGGGGTGGTATATTTAGACTATAGCAGATGACACTTTCGCTGTCAACTAAAAACTTCTTACCACATTTATTTATCAAACTACGAATAATAAAGTTAAAGAAATGCATACATATATGGTTCAGATATTTTATATTTGTTCCAATTTTTTTTTACGAAATTCAAGTATATTCAAGGACACGCTAAACATTTGGTCAAAATTCGAGTGTACTGAATGACATGTAAAGGATTTCAAAAAGCAAAGATATTCAAGGAAGGTGTTTACAAATTCCGTCTTCTTCAAAAGCACCAGCTTTTGTAAAGTTGCTTCTAACTTGTACGTTACTGTCAGAATCCTCTTTGGGCATTTCTCTCCCTGATGTAGGTAGATTGACGTTCATAAGTACCGATACATATCACGTTAACTTTAATCTTTAAATTGACTGATTCTACAGCCAAGAATGCCAGGCAAAGCATAGAGCCCCTTTTATCCTGGGGATCATAATAACGTATTAATAAACAGATAGATATTAGATCCAACGTTTTCTAGATCAGTACGGTGTTGATGAGAGTTTTGACATTAAAACAAAAATTCAACCCACATTGGCCATACATACAAATAATAAGAACATGACACTGGGTCACGCATGCTCAACAGCCATACTAACAGCATCTTTACACCAATGTAGAAAAAAGAGCTCTTTTTACGATTGCAGGTAGTTAGGTTTCCCCATGACCTAACCCTGAATAATGCAAGACGTCAGGAAAATATTAAAATCCACGTGGTTCATCAGTTTCTAGTCATCTGATATACAAGACCATGTCCACCGAAGTCATAAATCTTGGCATATAATGGGAAAAAGAAACGATTTAGGATGATATGGCTATTCTATCCCTTTTGAAGATCGAAGAAACGGGACCACTGTTTGGTTCAATACACACTTTATTCTTTCCAAGGAGGAGGAAGGTGGGAATTTGTAGGAACAAATACAGATAGAGGGTAGCTCAGGCTTCTTGCAAAACTTAAATAACAAAAGAATCATCTTAAGAATAAATTTCTTTGACGCGAGCAGATTTAAAAAACCTTGCCACACTAACGAGAACAACAATATATAGGAGTCCGATATAAAAGACCGACTTTGCTCCATATGTTTGTGATGTGATGTGATTATGAATTTTAACATAGCTTTAAAAAATTTCAGTCATATCGCTTTGATGTCTGCATTGTGGCAGTTTATAGTGATGTCTAGCACTGTGTTATTATGCCGCAAACATGTAGCATGATGTCTCACCCAGTCACATTATCCTGACACCAGGCAGACCAGTCCTAACAATAACCTCTTAATACTGTGCGTCAAGCGAGGCAACTGTTAGTACCATTTTTGTAAGTCTTTGGTATGACTCGACTGGGAATCGAACCCACGACCTCTCGCATCCAATGCAGACGCTCTAACCACTAGGCCACCGGATTTGTCGGTAAGCAGACCTTTGTTCTGATTCATGTCGATCAACATTGTAAGGTCAACAGCCTGAGACGGGATTAAATTGAATTCCCGTGGAATTTCAAAAACATTCCGATATTTAATGTATAGTCTTGAAATGTGTTAATGTGCAAATGACCTGGAATATGGCGATGATGTTTAAACAGTTTTATAGAATGATTCTGCGTTAGATGTTAAGACATGAATTAATAACTTTTCAAGTAAACAACATTATAAAAAGGCCAAGACAGAATAATAGAGCCAGGATGTAGGTCAGTCTCATTTATTAAACATTAAAGGTTGTCAGAAAGTTTAGGAATTTTCAGATGAAAAATTTAATGTCCTGAACTCATATTCAAGTGAATATTAATGCCGTTAAAATGATCAGGTACACCATGACTTTGGACAAGGTCAAGTACAAAATACAGTTGTACATAACATATAATCATCAATTAAAAGTCAAAAGAAAATTATTTTTTCGGCTTTCTTAACGAATTTATTTTATGTACATCTGTATTTTGTACTTGACATTTTCCAAAATCAAGTTCATTGTATACAGTATCATCATCATCGTTGTTTTTGTTGTAATTATTATTATTATTATTATTATTATTATTATTATTATTATTATTATTATTATTATTATTATTATTATTATTATTACTCGTACAGAAATCATCTTCATAATTCTTTTCCAAGTTTTTGTTCTATTACTTCATCTGTTTCAAATCTTCATTTTTAATAATAATAATAACAATATTAATATAATTATGATGATAATAACAAAAGGAAACCAAACCTAAAACAATGAAAAGGTGTTGCTGCTATTGATGATAATGATGACGATGATGACGACGATGATGATGGCAATTATGAAGACGGCGATGACGATGATGATGACGCACAACGCTCATAGTGCCAATGGCAGAATAGACTTAAACTTCTGCATATATCAATGCATTCTACAGTCCAAAATTTATCTTGAAAATATAGGGGAGGCATGTAAGAACGGACTCAGTCTTGTTTACTCAGTATTGTTTCTATCAAGGAGAATAGAAGCAAGTTTTTATTAAGTAACGGAAAGGAACTGAACGATATAATCACAGATATCATGCATATTAAATAGGAACTGAACGATATAATCTACATATATTATGCATATTAAATAACTTCATACTTCAGTGAGTAAAGGCGACTTGCTGCCAGAAATTGTCATGAAAATTTCCATAGATAGCAATTACATACTATTATTTGCAAACATGTTTACCTTTCATATATAACTAAAATTACTCTATATCTTCGCTTATCTTTGAAATACTTTATCTAGCTATTTTCGTTGTTCACGTATTTGTTTGGAGAACAGTAGTGATACAAATAATCGATGATCTGTTTCTTGATCGGTATATTTAGTAGTAGGCATTAAAATCCGTGCTGACAACATGCTTCAAGTTAAATTTTAGCAACTACCTGGCTATAAATGACGTCATTATTATTCTGAATTAGGTTAATTATGGACTTCGATTGTTCTGTTATGTGGTCTAACTAAATACATTCTCATAAATATAATGTTGTCATGACGAGAAGCACCCAGACATGCATATTCCTTTTCCTGTGAAAGCTATTATTGGACACCAGTTTCATCGAGCAAGATATTCCATCATTTACGTATGACCAACCTTTGTGTCTAAACAACAGATCTGACACAACCGTCAACGCGTATTTACGAGTGTAATTAGGATGTTCGTAAAGACTTCCGTCGGGCTAAATTTAAAAAAAAAATATGTTGCAATTATATTGAGAACTGTTTCTCAATCAGAAATACGATCACATAAGTCAGGAATATAAATAAAAATTTTTTGAGTTTTTACTATTCAGGTCTAAAAGGTACAATAGTCTTTGAAGTAAATTATTAGAATTATGCCTGCTATGGAGGCTTTTTGCGGGTGTATCTTTAAAACCATTTGGTTCTGAGAAGTTAGATTTAACAAGTTGCAAGGCAATTTTAGCATGCACAAAAGCAAGACAAGTATTGGTAAAAAAGTTGCAAAATCTACGAAAAGACTATGAATCAGATAAAGTCAACCGGTTCCGCAACACTTGTATCCAAATATGGTCGTTTATATTTGCCAAATCTCATTTTCAAACTGAAATTATCGGAGATCCTAATCTTAAATGTCTGGTCCAAAACTGGAGCTCAATAGAAAATTTGTTGGTATCAGCACATGAGTCTGCAGTTTTATCAATAAAGCACGACGTAATTTTTGACAACATGAAATCACCTTAACCGTATTATAAATTAAGACAAGGAATGCAATCGTGACCACAACCCTCCGCTCGATTCGCCTTTTCTCACGCGTCTTTTATCGCTTCAGAATCGCACGAACACCGAAAAACTACACCTATCCATTAAAAAAAAAAACCAGTATCACTCTCAGACGACCATCGCATGAATCGAATCTGGCAAATTAACCTTAATTTTTACCATTACGGTCACAAACCCTGGAAAAAATGAACCAATACAGGAAGTAGCCCATTTCTATTAGTTTCTACCCTGCACTAAATATGCGTTAGGGTCTAATAATCGTTCCGAACACGGCGCAGAATCTGTTCTCTTTTAATACTAGGCTTTAATATTTAAATGTGATGACGTCATCAAGCGTTATTTGTATTATCAGAATTTTAACTACATATTTCTGTTCTTGAAATTTATGCAAAATTTATTAAATGATACAATCTGAAATAAAAAAGTTAAATATTTTATCTTGTAAAATTAGTTTCATGACGTTAGAAATGGGCTACTTTCTGTAATGGTCCGTTTTCTAGGGTTCGTGACCGTAATAGTGAAGATAAAGGTTAATTCATGCGATTAATCCTCCTCCTCCTCATCGTCGTCGTCGTCATCGTCATCATCCTTTTCACGTGTCTCCTACAGTATTATTCCTAATACTGGAAAAGGTGGACAATTAAAATTTAATTAGTTCGGAGCCCACAGTCAGCAATGCAGACGTTCTTGGTTTATAAGCAATTAACTCATAGTGAAAGGTATAACAATGTAAAAACATATTTCAAAGGTATTCAGTAATTTCATAGACTAATTTCTCAATCGCAATTCTTTTCTCACAAATACAATAAATGACCTATTCGCAGTTGCCAGTTACTTTTTCCTCTTATGAAATTAAATCTCTTAAGTGATCCTTGTTTCCCTTCAGTGTTGCCTCTGTTACCCATCTGTCATCACTGTCCGACAACAACAACAACAGCAGTAGCAACATCAAATCCGTTTACTTCTTTATCTTCTTCATCTTCTTGCTACTGATGCTGCTGCTACTATTACTATTAGTACTACTAGAGTGGGTAAATAGTACCTTTTGCATCATATTTGGTGGTACTTATTACTTGCCGCTCTCGGAATGACTGCCGTTACTACAAGTCTAAGGGTACGGGGAGGGTGATTATGATGGTATTATATTTCCTGGAAGTTAATTATACAAGAAAATTGATCACGCTACACCTCGCTGCCATTTGTTTTCGTCGTAGCGATATAACATTCCGTTTAACAAAAGAACTTATTTTCTTCAGACGTGATAAATTCATGCAGACACGTATTGCAGTTTATTAGGATAAAAACTGCATCCACATCAGATAATGTGGATGGGAACAGGAACCACCGAACGCCAGCCTAAAATACATTAATAGTTACTTTATAGTTACTTTTACAACAACGAGGTTGTGACATAAGTGGCCCATTGTCGTACTCAATCAAAATCATCATATATATGTAGAACACACACACATACACTATCTATCTATCTAGTGAAGTGTATTCATCTGCAAATATATATATATATATATATATATATATATATATATATATATATATATATACATAGTGAAGTGCAATCATTTGCATTGTGTGATGGATTTTATCCATGATAATATGTCATGCATATTAAATTTTTCTAGTAACTGGCCATGATTTATAGTTATGGGGAAGAGTTGGGGTCTACCTGTATAATGTCTTTTTTATCAGCAACATATTACATTGCTAATTGTTTTATATAATTTTATATTATATATTAAAATTATTACTGCATTGAGATAAACATATTTGTATAGCTCTTTGATCTTAGAGTTGTTAAAAGTGAGCTTGTTTATGACTTTGGTATGCAATTGGCCCTCGTTCTGATAGTATTAAATTATTAGCTGGAATGACAAAATATTTAAAAATATTTTCGGGTTTAATTGCAGGTTTGGATTGACTGTGAATTCATTCAAGGACATTTTAGATTGTGCCATTATGATGCATCAGGCAGTTTGCACATTAGTACATTTGAGACTACTCTCACATCCGCATATTCAATACTTGAATTCATTCGGAATACCACTTGAATTCATTCGGAATGCTCTACTTTTGGATTTGTGATGTAACGTTTAGGATTTTTTGGGATTTTGTTCACATTACTATAAGTTCTTTGTGAAATTTTTTTCTTTGCATTATACGGAAATAATTTATGTTATTGATTTTACAAACCTTGCTGTTTTTGCTCTTTTCCGTTACTTAGTTTAAGACAACAGAGAACAAAAAAAAAACCTTTATGCAAGGAGTACTTACATGAATATTCCACATCTTTACAAAAGCAGATGAATATCTATGATAATGTGACAACATCAGCAGAAGAGGACGATCGATTTCTATGGTAAAATCCGCGTTTACACTTGCATAAATATTTAAGCTAGAAAATTTATACCTGTACTTTTTATCAAATAGGATCGATTATTTGATATCACTTGCATGGAATTACTTTTTAAGTTTGGTCGAAATCATATATCTCCGCGTAAGGCGTAAAACACGTAATTTGATAGGACTTTTTAAACTAAGCATATTTGAATAATTATATTTATTTTTGATCCAACATTTTTGACATATGAGTTGTTTTGGTGATCACTGAATGACATTTTGAAAGAGCAACAAAGAAGAATTATCTTTATT